TAGTGAATGCAGGGTCCTGAGTTTAGTAACACTTTAGGGACAATAAAGTGGCCCTTTGTTTAGAAGATTTGGTTTCCCCTGGCATAGGGGATCAGCACTGAATGTTTTAAATATACAGCAAACCCCAGTGCACAGTAATAACCACAAAGATTTACAACCCAGTAGTCGATTGCTGCTGCGCACAGGTAATTAACACCAAAACATAAAAAAGCAAAAAAAACAGCGCAAACCAACACCCTGATTCAAACAATATCTTAAATGCAGTATAAAAATCAATAAAAATGTGAGATACTCAAATTAATCCATTAAATTGACCTATCAAAAAAATTTTTTTAAATAAATATATCATTCATATTAAAGTGTCCAAACTAAATTAGAAGAAAAGTCCTTTCTCCCCATTAGGTTGTGAAAAACAAATATCCAAACGAAATAATGCTTCCACCAATCACCAGTGAAACACCAACATCAACCGCACTCACCAGATGATGGTGAATAATGCGCCTTTTAGGATGTTATGGGTTCCTAGGCGGCCCCCTTTTATAAGCTTTCAGGACTCCTTCCCACCATATAGGATATAAGGTATTTTCTTCCACTCACTCCTGCCTTCTCCTCTCACCGAACTCCACAGCAGTGCAAGGGAAAGAAGTATACAATAATGTAATACTGCTAATACACAGCGCAATATTTGGTACAAATTTCCATACCACTCACATTTGTTAAGATGAGTAAAAGCATCTTTTTTATTGCCTCCATAGGCTTAAATGAGTTCCACTGATTCCACATCTCATACCAGAGACCTCACAGCCTGGTTGTAGCAAGCGATGACGGCATACAGCTCCAAAGATGGCCGCTTGGAACGTACCGCTCGGCGTGCGTTCCACTCACCGGAAGTGACGCGGGGCGTCAGGACGGCAGACCAGAAGACCGGAAGTGCGTCAACGCGTTTTGCCCCACCCACAGGGCGTCCTCAAGACACACACCTCCAGTCTCAGGCCGCTTAAATACCAATACAGGGTCCCTCCCCTTCTCTCCCACAGGTCAATTAAGGTAATTATGTAAACTACTAGCTGTCATCCTTTGCTCACATCTCGTGAGATTCCTTCATAAAGATATCAAATGAATAGCTCAGATCTCTTCTAATCATTAATTCACCCACACACAAAAAAAGACTATCCTGTATTTAGCGTGTTAAGATGTGCCCCCCACTCCAAATTCATGTTCTGCCTTGACTCTACACAATATAAGGCATGGTAACTTATTGTGTAGTCTAAAAGGGCCTCTTAAGGGTTCTTTTCTTTTTCTGGATCAACTGTGGATTTAGGTTTCTAAAGGAAGTAGGATTTTCATTGAATTATTTTTGTCTGCTTCTTGACTCAGTACATATATATGTCTTTTTTCAACCTTGCAATGTAAGTATCAAGTGAAATACTAAAGAACAACCATATAAAGTTTGTTAAGGCAGGGATTCTACACAGATCCCTTTCCCCGGGGGTCTCTGACATTCATGCAACTTCTCAAAAGGACAGGCCGTAAAATACATGTACTGTACCTCTCAGAGTCTAACAACTGCCTAATACATTCACCCAGTCCAGAGAAAGCTCCGGAATACCCATAAATAATGTCAGTTGACCACTAGTGTCTGATAATATGTGATGAATGAGTGAGCTGTTCTGTATTTCGCCTAGAAGAAAAAAATATATATCATTGCCATGCTATTGAAGGTAATATATTTCTTGTTTAAAAGTCTTGTTCTTCCTTTTCTTTAAGGGCTGAGTAGAGTGCAAAATGGAAAACAAAATGTAAGAAGGTTCGCTAGTCATACAAATCCAGATTTGTTCAATTTTTTTAGACTATACAATGAAAAATAGTTTGTTGTTTGGGATAAGTGAATGGGAAAAAAATGTGAAAATGGCAAGATTTTCAAGTGTGAAAAAGGCTATTATATCAGTAAAAGATTTTGCGTTGGCATAAAATTATATATTACAGTCACAAGCCGATTAAAGCAATAGTAAACTGCAGCAAAATCTTCTGACAGGCAGGACTTTTCTAACAGAAGAGACCTCAAAGGTCTCTTTTGTTATAAATGTCCCCCCTGCGGTAATGCAGTCTGAGCCATGCATGCACAGTTCAGATCGCATTTACAGCATGCTATGCACACCATGACGAAATTACGTCACCTCGGCCTGGCCAATCAAGCGGCTGAAGATTTGGAAATGGGTAGGAAGACCGGGTTAACATGGAAGGGGGGGAGCTGTGACAGCCCAGCGGTGGAAGGCTTCGTAAGTAGGTAAGTCGCTCATACTGTACTAGTATGCACTGCATAAAAAATTTCATTTAATTATGCATTACATACAGAGCTGCATTATTGGGTGTCTTTTATATCTGCTTTCACTTGGGCTTTAAAGTATGTCTATGGCCAAACATGTTTTTTATTTTTTATAAAGAAGACCCCTTTCAGGTTTTTAATGCTGTCTGTATGCTGTGTAGGAAGATTCTACCTGTAGCACCCTCCTAATGTAGAGTAGGCCGCTAGTTAAATTTAGTTTGGCTACCCTGTAATCAGAAGAGCAGAGGTTGATTGTTTATAGCTGCTCGGTGTTTCACAGGCTGCTGCTCTTTTACTTCCCCCTGTCATCTAGAGGATTCTAGAATCATAGTGGCAGGAAGGACAGGGCATGCAGCCTAATTATTTATGGGACTCTAGACAATTCCTAGGGAGGTATGCCCAGTGGGTGGTGAGAGAGTCCATAAATAGTCTAAAGCCTGGCCAGCAGTGTGCTGTGTTCTAGGGTCCAGTCCTGCAGGAGGAGATCTCTATGCAGGTTTTTCTGCCCCTGGCACAGGATCCTAGAAAAAGTCTTCAGGAAGACACTGAGGTCCCAGCTAGGCTTAACTCATGGGCCTATTTGCAAATTTGAGTCAGGGAATCAAGTTGGGTCTGGAGAAGCTCACTGGAGAGAGCCAAGAGAAAGTTGGTGGGAAAGAGTCCAGCTGTCCTGTGGTGGGGTGATTATATATCTCCTTCATTGGGAAGAGCCTAGTGGATATTGGCAAGAGGCAACCGATGATCCTAGTGATAGTGACTGTGGGGTAGCTTTTTATCTCTGGAAGGAGTACAGGTTACCATCAGCACCATCAGGGTATCCCATGCTCCCTATTCATATCAAAGTTCATCATTCCCAATAAAGAAACTAAAAATAAACCCATAGTCCGTTCTTTGGAGCTAGTGGAAGAGTGCAGCAATACAGCTTGCCTACAGCCAGGCAAGCTGTATTTGCTGCACTCTTCCACTCTAAGGGGGAAATAGGACCAAATTCACCAGGAGCTCCTTAGGGGGTACGCTACAGACCTAAGCGGAGATTCTATTCTATCAAAAAACAAATAGAAGGGAGACCCCCTTATACATTTCTGCATATAATATTGTAAAACTGTTTAGCATATTTGAGGTCTTAGTTTTGATTTATTAGGTATTACTTAGGTATCTCCTTTCTTACTGTACTCTATTAATCTGTATACATATGGGTGTCAAACTGGGACAATCTGCAAGCTGAGCTCTCTTTTTAATATCCAAGGGCAGCAAAGAAGCATTGTGATAAATGGAATAGTACACACATGCTTAACAGATTTTTGAAATGCTGAGAGGCACATGGAATGTCCCAGATCCAAGCTCCAAGGAGCTGGAGTACTTGTTACACACCTGGCTCAACTTCTCTGAAGACTGTGTGGTGGAGTGGTCTTCTATAGGACAAAGTCTGCATAGTCTTAGCAGAAAGGAGAAGGAGGGAGAGAGAGCAGCAGCAAGTTCAAGGTAAGTGTTTTCTACTGACACCGATGTTTCTATTGTTTCCCCCACTGAGCAATGTTGTTTCTGCCCACCACTCACTTGGCACCAATGTTCTCCCCAGCCTCACTTTATGGATGCTCCCCACTCCCATTGGGAAGTATTGTTCTCCCCCACCCCTGGACAATACTGTTGTTCCCCACCTCCAGTGGACACTACATTTCCTTCCCACCATCCATTGGGCACTGGGCACTATTATCTCCCTTATCCCATCTCAACGCTATTGTCTCCCCCACTGGGCAACATTGCTCCCTCAGGCACTATTGATCTCCTTGCTATGCGTTGTTGTTCCCTTCATCCCCAAATGGGAACTTTTGCTCACTATACCACCTGCTTAGCACAATATTTAACCCACCCCCTTCTAAGCACCAATACCCCCCAACATAATTGTTTGCCCTTAACCAAACCCCGGTGACACAATTGCATCTTCTATTCCTTTTTATCCCCACTGACCACTGACGGCAGGGAATTCTTCCTCCCTTGGACACGAACGTTGGGGATTTTTCAACCCTACTGACTACTGGCTCTTGACATTTTTTCTTTCCCTTATTTTTTTTCTCTCACCATCAATGACAGGCATTTTATTTACTATCACCACCAACACTGGGAATATTTATTGATCCCAGGCTGTTCCTAAAAACACCCATTGGTTAGAGCGAAATGTGTTGGGCAGGCTTCCGATGATGTCACTTTCTGCCCATGGAGTGCATGCCATGGTGGCTGTTCCAGGTTTACATGCTAATATTTATGTATATACAAGTGAGTGCAATGGAGATTCTTTTTATTTAATATAATTATGCTGCACCATTGCGGTTCTCCCCTTTTTGCTCCCTCACTAATGCCAGAGGTTTCATACCGCTCATGTACAATATTGCCTGGTATTGGAAATAGAAGAGGATCTAGGACTATAGAATAGAAGAGTATCTAGGAGCATATTCACAAGCAAGGTTGACACTTTTGCTATATAGCAAGGGGTCATTAATCTATGGTGAGTGTGAGAACACAAGGAGGTCAAGAGTGTTGCATGAAACTCATCTTTTGGATGAATGTTATGAGACACTGCACTGGTGGACTCTTTTATAAAGCTGTGCACATGGCACTGGAAAATTGGGACTTTAACCCCCCTGGTGGTATTCCTGAGTGTAGCTCGGGGGTAAAGTTTCTGTACCAAAAGCGGTAACCCCGAGCTACACTCGGGCTTACCATGTGGCGCTGCATAGGGAGTCCCTACAGAGCTTACCTTGTCCTTCGCTCCCACGATGTGTCCCCTGCAGCGTCCCCGGCCATCTCCTCCGGCTGATGCCGGCATCCGGCTTCTGTGTTCCGTTCCCTGTGACGTTGGGACATATGGGCGCCGGCGGGAAATTTGAAAATTTAAAAAAAATGTAATTTTTTTCAAAACGAATTTTACATAGTAAAACATTGCTGTTTCAAATCATTTCACATACATTTTGTCCTGAGTGCTTTGTCCTGTCCCGTCTGCATTTTGACTGTTCTTTCTGCCTGGAAACTTAGAAAAGTCCATGGCATCCAAAAAGCATCCCTTTAGGTCAAAAGCGGGTTTAGATCAGTTAGAGAACAGCGATAGTAAATCAGAACCACTTGCAGAATTGAGTGATAATGATTCGTGGAGAAATTCGTCATCAGACACTGAAAGCAATTTTGCAACTTTGCTCAGTGATGTGCGAACTTGGCACTATATTTCAAATTTCAGTGTTTTTGGTTTGATTATATTATTGAATAAATGTGTTATTATTATATTATTATATTATTATTTTTTATGATTATTTATTAAATTATAATTTATGATTTTGTGTTTCAAATTTTATTATACCCGGGATGTATAATAGACTCTTGTTTGGACAGATTTCAGTGAGTTATTCCTAAATATTACAGCCTACAATAAAAAAAAAAACTACATATTTCCATACAAAATAATGGTACCGCTTTCAGCACCAAAAATCTGAAATAATCATACCGCCAGGGAGGTTAAGTATTTTTTCACTGTAGTAATAATATTATTTATTTAGTAACTTTATGTTTTTTGGGAGGCAAATGAGAATATAGTTGAATGTCCAGAGACAGTGCTCTAATTATATGGTTTACTATCATCTTGGCAATGCAGCTAAAGACTGTACCAAATCCAAAAAAACAACAATGGCAGCCACTCTGATGTTTGAACTAACAAACAAGAGAACGCTGCACATGGACAGGGCATTAAAACTAAATTTAAAAGGTCCCTGTTACACTTTCAAGCTAGCCAGCACAAAAACCATCTACCCAAACTATACATTATTTACATACAGTATAGGGCTGCAGCATAACCAAACCCTTATTAAAATACTAGAACCCTTAGAACACATCTGAAAAAATGACAGCATCAAATCTTGCAATTTCAATATTTCTGCCCTGTAAAGCTCACTCTTCTTTAACCTGCTGCAGTTATATGTAATATATGTTTCAGAGGCAGAAAATGATCTGCAATCCAATTCTTGACATTTGAAAGGGAGATAATAAACTTTTATAGTGATATATTACTAACAAACCTCTTCTCTGAAGAAAAGCTTGAGGCATTTGTAAAACAGAAACCTTACTTCAAACCATGTATATGTTAAATAAAAAAAAAACGAACCATATTCTGAAGCTATGCTATGTGTATTCCCACTATCCTTTGAATATAGGTTGCAATTTAAACACAGGCTTCCAGTGGATGTGCTGGCACTGCATGCTGAAATGAGGTAGGATGCAGAGGTCATAAAGGAACATCACATTTTCAAGTCTTTGGGTGTACAGAATAAAGTTAAAATAGTTAGTGATTCAGGTACTGCAGTTCAGGCAGGTGCAGCTTGTTTCCTCTACTGCATGTGGCGCTCAAATCAAGTGGTAGTTCAGTCTGGAGAGCAAGTCCAAAATACTGGGTTTCCTGGGTCAATGCAGCAGAGTTCTGGTTGGCTACGCTGCACCCATGTGACCCTTGGTGGCCATTTTGGGTCAACAGGGATTTTTTTTAGTCCATCGCTCTGGGTTTTGGCATGCTTCCAGCTTATGGCTAGTGTATGGAGAGAGACCCCGCTTGTTAGCAAAAGTAATTAGTGGTCGGGAAAGGTTTCTAAGAGAAGGGAAAGATTAGGGGCTCGCTATCCTGGAAAGGATCTTCCCTCTTGGGACCAGACCAGCCATGCTGCGTTTCACCCTCTAAAACAGATGCTTTCAGCACCTTTCCAACTCTACATCTGACTACACTGAACTGTGAGTTTTTTTTCCCCAGCAGAGCTCTTCCGATGAGGTGTCACAGTAGAAGCACATTGATTTTCACATTTTGTTTTCCAATTCATAAAAAAATGCTACTAAAATACCAGTGTCCTTAACAACCAGTAACTGTAATGGGTGTTCGGGAACGGTTGGCTGATGCGTCCTTAACAACTGATGATTCATCAGCTGCCAGCAGGGTTCCCCGCTGACAGCCGAATGCAAACAAAACAACTTATGTAGAAAAACAGCTTGGGGGGTCTCCCCAATCTTTACCAGGCCCTTTAGGTCTGGTATGGATTTAAAGGGGAACCCCATACCAATTTCTTATTTTTAAAAAGCTTGGAAACCTCCCCCGATCCATACCAGACCCTTAGGTCTGGTATGGATTTTGAGAATAACCCCACACCAAAATATAAAAATGGCATGCTCCCCCCCCAAATCCATACCAAACCCTTATGCAGTCTGGCAGGCCATGAAAGGGGGGGGGCAAGCAAGTGCCCTGCCTCCTGAATCATACCAGGCCATATGCCCTCAACATGGGGGGGTGCTTTGGGGCAGGAGAGGGCTCCCCCCAAAGCACCTTGTCTCCATGTTGATGAAGACAAGGGCCTCTTCCCCACAACTCTGGTTGGTGGTTGTGGGGGTTTGCAGGTGAGGGCTTATCAGAATCTGGAAGTCTCCTTTAACAAGGGGGCCCCCGAATCCCGACTCCCATGTAAATTAGCATTGGGAGCTATGTACCCCTACTCCTTGACCAAACAAGTGAGTAAAACACAACAGTTTTTGACAAGTCCTTTATCCAAAAAACAAAAAAATCCCTCAAAGTAGATCCAACATCAATCACGATGAATGCCAGCCACTGACCCAGAAAAAAAGTGGTCTGCACCCAACAAAGGCTTCTGCCAAATGACAGCTCTGCTGCCTCCTGCAGCTAAATAAACTGTGGGGTGGGGCCATCCAATAATGTTACTAGGAGGCCCCATCCTACTTTTGATATTATTACCCAAGGCATGGATCAAATGTAAAAGCTCTGTCCAAGAGTAGGAACCTAATAAAGCCTGTTCTGTGCTCCCCTCTGTTCTTGAGTTTGGCTTCTTAATGAGAGCGCAAGTTATGCAAGTCCTCAGCTAAACCCCACTCTCTGTCCTTTAGTCCAGTGAATGCACCTTGGCAACTATCAGGAGGATCGAGTGTATGGCCTAAAGATTTGCATGCACCAATACATGTTAGTGTGAAGAAGCTTGCATGGCTGACCGTGGCGTTGGTTCCAATCTCTTGATTTAAACAAAGTGAGGAGAAGTTGCTGAGCAGTCATCAGTATCTTGGACTTGTGACCTGACCTGCGTTCTGCTGTTCTGTGCTTGGTGTGACTTGACTCCTGATTCTGTTGTATCCTGACTCTGGCTTGTGTCCTGACTCTTATTTCTACTTCTGGCTGCTTTGGTCTTGCAATCTCATTAGATTTTTTAAAAGACAGAGATCTGCACCTACAGATTTACCCACAAAGTCAACTATTGGTGAAATCCACCATTTCTGGAAATACAAAAATACAGTGGGGGAAGATTTACTAAAACTGGTGTACTCAAAATCTGGTGTAGCGGTGCATGGCAGCCCATCAGCTTCTAAGCTTGTTTAATTAGGCTTTAACAATAAAACCTGGAAGCTGATTGATTTCTATGCAAAGCTGCTCCAGATTTTAGACCAAGCAGTTCTAGTAAATAACATCCATTGACCGTCTGCGGAAAAAACTGCATTCCTGTGATAAAACCTCCGATAGGAGCTTCGAACAACAGTAGAGTACAGGTACCTCTATTATTTATTATTAGCTGCAGCAGGTAAGAGCTAATCTGTTACATGTAAAAATCACAATTCAAAAAGGGGATTTTCCAGTATCCTTAGTTATCTGAAGAATATTATTCTGCAGCCTAAAGATTTACAACATACTTTCCACATTCGGCATATCGCCTACTATTACCGGCATGCAAACAACTCACACTCTACCTCTGCAACTGGCTAATAAGAAACTAGTCCTTTTCCCCATAAATAATGGTGATATGCAGCAGGTTCGTGGTTGGGAAGCAGTGTAATTATTTTGAAAAACATCCTTGTCTACTCCAATAAGTCATAAACTGACACGTCTTCTAAACTCTGCAGCCAATCAAGCACCAGATGAGATCTTGATCCCCAGAAAATTATATGTGTTGTTCATCTGTATGTAAATCAAAAAGTCTTACAAGCTAATACAGTGTTTTATATATATATATATATATATATATATATATCTGTATACACAAGTATAAAAACAAAATTTAGTCTTGTTAAGATGGCTCTGTTTTAAAATGGATCCAGCAAGATCTAAATTCTGTGTTTGGCAAGTCTTTTAATGCAGAAGATGTAAGGCAGAAAATAAGAACAATGAATTGTTACTGTTGTATTTGCAATAAAGCAATAACACTTGTAGTTCTCAGAAGTCTGCCTACGGTGTTGGTTTGTGATGGCGTTCACCTACCGAGAAGAAATACATTTGCAATGAAATGAAGTAGTGGATGAATGGCTTTGTGCAATTTCAGCCGTCAGTTATGCAACTGTCTAGTGTTTTATTTGTACCAGAGATTCATAAGAGATTGCTGGGGTGGATTTGCGCAAATGAAAGCTAATCTGAGACAGGTAAAGCCTGAAGGGAATGCACTTGTAGTTTGGACGCAGCGGAGCATCAATCAATTTTTGGCCCCACTGCCTTGATGGCTTCCAACTTGATTTCATATCACATATGCCTTTTTGCCTTTTTGTTTAACATTTTTAGTCTGAATTTAATCTGCTAAAATATACCTGATGGAGAAAACAGCAGGAAAATGTGTTCCATTACTGAAGTGTCAAATCTAAGGAGACCTTAAAGGGGGAGGGGATACTGTAGACAATTGTGGTTTCCAATGGGAAGAACCATTTGTAGCATCTGAGGGTTCTTTGCATTGTAGGTACAGTCAAAAAGTTTCTTTAGTTTTGGATAGAGTAGAGAATGGTTAAGACCCCTGTCGGATTTTGTTTTGTTGTCTATGTCCCAACCAGGAGATTCTCTTTCACTTCCTGCCCCCAGAGACACAGCAGGAGGTATGAGGAGATCTCACCAAAGCATATGGACAGTTGTCACCAGTACAGGTTTCTTGAAGATTTCCCTTTACCTCCTCTTCTTGTGACAACTAAATAATTTGAGAGTTCCTATTATTTTAAATGAAGACAATTATAGCACTCA